CTTCAGATAGGGCCACGCTTTACAGAGATAGTTGGTAGGAGACTAATAAAATACCTCTTACGATCAAATAGGTTAAAAAATGAATATTCGTTTTATAAACTAAGTCTTGTCTGTTTATCAACTTGCTATGGCTTAGAGAATGTTGTTAACATTATACATAATTTTGACAGTCGACTTTCTGGTAAGACTGTATAAGGTCTACAGTTTTGTCTCAGAAATAAAACACTATAAGGAAACTTTAGAGAAAACATTGGTTCAACTTGAACTGCTATGCTAAAAAGGAAGAATAAATTTGAAACAAAGACCCTTAATAAAATGTAGAAAAACACGAAAAAAATGGTGTCTCAAGAACTAAGATCAAGTAATGATTAGATTTATTTATTTAGAAACAAGATTATAGGTATATATCTTGGGTGTATTTGTTAGAATCACAACAATACGCTCTCAAATCAGTAGACACGCTGCCAGATGAGAAAAATAAATATGCTGATAACTGCAGGAGATATGTCTGAGTGAAAGAGAGTGTTTGTTATTCTTGTGATAACTCATGGAGATCTCTATCGCAGATGACATGAAAGGAGTTATCAATAGGAATAAATGGCTTAGAATATGGTTGGCTAAAGGAAGTTTGAAAGTGACAAGATTGTTTGGGATTAAGACTAGCTTAAAGAAAAATGGAAAGGAGAGTGTATGTTACATCGTTCGGTAGAAGAAATTCCGTTGTAATAATTGTACAATAATAATTTTATTTTGAAGTACCAAATGAAATATGCTTCTTAAAACAGTTTATATTAATAAATAATGACTTTTTCTATTAATTGATAGTAGGTTTTAGTAGTTCCTCACAAAAAACCTTGACTAAAATCAATTAAACACAAAGTAATCAATTTACATATAATAGAATCGCACCTTATTTGTTAAAATAAAGATAGAAAAATAAGTTTATTTTCAATGTCATTACTTTGAAATAGAATCCCTTGTAAACTAAAGAAAAAAAAATTAAACAAAATAAACTATAATTAATTATTAAAGTGGCTGTAATTTTTTATAAACTTTTTCATGGTCGCTGACCACTGCTTATACGGAAAAATTGTATCTCAAGAAAAAACATTCGTTAATGAAATTTTATTGATTTTCCATTCTTGTTTATTCATTTTGTTTTTATTTCCCAATAATATAAGCTTTTCTAAAGTGTATTATAGGATCCAGTATACAATATATTTGGTGTTGTCATGTTTTATTTGTGGTAATTTATTAAAATATATGAAGGAACCACACGCGTTCACAATAAACACAAGTAAAGTGGGTGGTTTGAGTGGCGATTTTGGAATATGACGTATTCAAAGTCAACTGTTCTCTTCTCATATATAATATAATAAAATATTTAGATAAGTGTTTACTTATATATTCACCCATATATATATTGAATACATTATTAAAAGAGATATGTTTGAGAACATTTTTAGCACTGTACTTCGCACTTTGATACTAAAAATAATTTCTATTTCAGTGAATAGGCTTCCACAATCTTTTATTTATTATGAGAACATAATCACAATAAATTTTTAATATTATAGTATATAAATAAACGACAAATTGTTAATAATAAAAGAAATGAACGAATGAATCAGAAGAGCTTTTCATTAAGGCTCTAGGATTTTCTTTTCAGACCCAGAAGAAATAATGTTGACTATTAGGATATAATAGTTAGAATATACACAGAAAAAAAATTTGATTCCTTATAACATTATAATAAATTTAAAATTTAACAATTTATTCACATTTTCTCAAACCTGTTAGTTCGAGGGCCTTGTCCAAAGCATCTTTTCAATTTTTTTTAAATTGTTACAAACTCTCTGATTATAAGACCCCGAAGACTTACAAATACATTTGTAAGCCAGAAGTAACGAACCGTATCTTCAGTATGCTTTTTGGTAAAATATATGTAGGACAGAGAATATATCTATTTGGAGTTTTAAATGTTTAAATATTTGATATATATTATAATAATAAATATATACTTTTAATGATAGTTATGAGAACACAAGAAAAGTGCTCTATAATCATTAAAATCGAGTGAAATCATTTCATCTTATAATAGATAGATTTGTATATAAGTAAAAGTAGGGTTCAAAAGAATTTAGATTTAATAATCCGTAATTACTAAGTACATAAAAGGTTAGTGTCATTTTGGGTTAAAGAGCACTCTTATAGGATCTTACTTCTTTAAGTACCGGCATGAAAAACACACAATTAACGATGCAAAGCATTTAATATACTGAAGTCACTAAAATTGATATTAGTAATCATTAAATTTTAATTTTCTAGCAGACTTTCTATTATAAATTAATATTAAATTAAAACAACTTAAAAAATTCGTGGATTATTTTTATTTAAAGCCGAAATCAACTATGGAAAAACAAGCATATCATTATTAAAATAATGAATCATAATGATGACTTGTAACAATTGTTATATGATAGAATACCTATAGTATAATAATTGCTGAATATTGCTGAGTTTTATAAAAACTCATATAAAATATTTTGATATCGCCAGTTGGAAAGTATTTGCAATAGAGTGTAGAGAGGATAAATTGCTCTAGAAATCATATTCTATTACTTATTAGCCATATTAAAAATGCATGTTTGTTAAATGGACAGAGATATGAATATTTTTACTTGTGGAAAATGGTTGTTGCTACACATATATATATATATATATGTTATACATATGTAAAATAAGTTGAAATTGAAATAAGTTGCAACGTTTATATCAACTGTCTATATTGATTGTTGATATACATGGTTAAGTCCAAAGTACTTTTAAAAATAGGTATTTGTAGTGAGGTTATCTATAAGCAATTACGGGCATCGATAAGACAGATTTTTTATCACTGCTGTGCAGTTAAAAGTTCATCACATTTCAATAAATAGAAGTATGGTTATTAGTATGGTTATTATACATATAATGACAATTATTCAGAAAGTCATTAATCAACATTTTGGAAGACTTTTAAGTTCACAAAATAATATTGTATCTTTATGAGCAGTTGTAAATATCTACAAATTTTACTTTGAAACCCCATAAGTTAAAAAATTAAATTATTTAAATTATTTGAAAAGCAACACCATATCATATGTAGGAAAAACCTTAATTAAACTAAATTATAACTTAGAGTACAAGTATCTATTAGGAAAAATGTAAGTGTATAAGGTCCGTAGTATTACAACCGGTTATCATTTGCGATTAATTAAGCTTTGGTGCACAAGGCAGCTACTTCAAACTAACCCAACCCAATAAATTAAAGATCAATTAAAAAAAAATACTTAAATGTTGATTTAACACTAAATTGACTTTCATTTAAACAATAAGTGACACTTTAGAGAGCCCAATATATTGAATACTTACATTAAGACCGAAAAGTTTTCGGAAATTCTCATTTAAAATTCGCGCGCTGTATATTTTTCGATATTTTAAGTTTATGTAGTTTGGCAGCACTTTCGTTAATTACTATGCCAAAAATGAGCGCGATCTGTCAGACAGTTCGTTTACGGCAGCTGTTGAAACCAGTTCACCTCAGTAGTGCGTTGCGAAAAAAACAATGGAAAAAAATATTGGACAAAGAGTTTGCATCAAATTTTGTGTTTCGAACGAAATTTCGTGTGCAGAATCGTTGCGAATGCTACAAAAGGCTTATGGGGAATCAGTTTTATCGAAAACTCAAGTTTATGAGTGGTACAAAGCCTTTCAGGACGGTCGTACGACCGTCGAAGACATTTCGCAACGCACTACTGAGGTGAACTGGTTTCAACAGCTGCCGTAAACGAACTGTCTGACAGATCGCGCTCATTTTTGGCATAGTAATTAAGGACAGTGCTGCCAAACTACATAAACTTAAAATATCGAAAAATATACAGCGCGCGAATTTTAAATGAGAATTTCCGAAAACTTTTCAGTCTTAATGTATGTTAGTTAAGTGTTCATAGGTATATATTTATTTTGTGAGGATTAATTATCACAATAGGTTTAATTATTAGGGTTTATGTGAGTCACATTTTCTGTTACAAGGAAGAGGTTAGGTTTTGTGCCAAAGTCCACTTGATTACAAATAATCGCTAGTTGTGGTATCACGGATTAGCATAGTTTATACGCCAGAAGAGTTTATATACTACAGGGATTTCCATAAATACCGCAGAGGTAAGCGTACGAATAACGCTGAAAGGCACGACAAAGCTAACTAACCTCACAAATCTATAAATTTCGCTAAGTCTCTAACTTTGCAGAATGACAGCTCTGTTTGGTGAATAAGATTTTAAATTTTCTCCTTATTAATCATGACACTGACACATGAGATGGAGCATAGTTTTCTTCTGTAGGCTAGACCCAGTCTCATGGTATGTCTTCCTAGTACTCCGGGCCACCTGTAGTGTTAACCAGTTTACGCTTTAGCGTTAGAAGGGTTGCTATTGGTATATGCTTAGGAGTAATTTTCACTAATTTCTTTTCTCTGCTAGATATTATTTTTCATTGTTCCAATTTTGACTATATTAATTGTATTATTTTTATTTAAACAATTGTAAAAATTGTTTATCAAAATTGAGAATTAATTGAATGAAATTAATTTATAAGATTCCCATTGGGTTTAATGCACAAAATAAAATTATTTAATTTTTATAGGAAATCTTTTGTCAAACACTTAGTCGCATCCTTATATTGATTATTTGCTTTTTTTTCTCAATACACACAGCCATTGTACAAATTTTTGACAATCAAAAATGCTGAAATGCCCATAGTAACCAACAAACAACCCTTAGCGCATACACAAACCCATGCACACACATACCCCAGCTGTTCTTTTTTCTTCTACATTCTGCCACATCATTCAGTACTTTTCCATTGTAAACTTTGCTATTTTTTTCACATGATATATTTTTTTGCATGAAAACACAACTGTCAAAAGTGATTCAACCGTTTAAAGGCCTATGAATCGGACTTACCTTATTATATTTCTTATTCTTCAGATGCTCCAATCCTGAGATTTTACTAGGTACATCACTTTCACCTGCGGTGCCGTGTAAGCCAATGCAATCGCGTTCATCGTCGCTGCCATTTAATTTAGCGAATTCTTTACAATCCATGCTGTAATTTGCGCGTTGTTGATAATTTATTGATTTATTTACGTTTGAATTTAATTTTTGATTAAATTCGTTTATAGTATTTAAATTTTTATTTAAATTTTCCAAGTCAGTTGAGGATAATAACGGCGTTAACTTTGTATCGTTGCACACACACGACGACTTTGACTCAACTGAATCGCTTGTTGG